GTCACTTTTAAAGTTTAGCACCAATGTCTTACCAACCTTCGTGATCATGGAAATCATGGCACTCAGCGGCTGTTCCCCATTTGTGTCAAACACAATCATTTCATCATTGAAGTCACAGAAAAGCTGGCTATGAAGAGAGACACATTTTATAAATGAAGACTATTTCAAACATCCGAAATAACATTAAGGCTTACCCAAAAAGACCACGTGTGTCTGCAACTATGAACTTGATCCCTTTGTCGTGGCAAAACTCGCCCAATCGCTGTTGCTCCTCTAAGGAGGATTCAGTCAAGACCACCACCTACCGCAGAAGTTTACATTCAACATTTCAGGGTGACAGCCATGAAAGACGACAAAAGGATCAAATGAAACTTTACCTGGAATCTGGTTAGAAAGTCCTCAGAGAGGGCTCCAGTGTGAGAGGATACAGGGACATAGTTGTTGAGCTCAGCCAAACGAGGCTGACTGGCTTCTGCCCTGTTCTTTCCCAAATCCTCTTCTCGGAGGTAAAACTAAAATTATAAAGTGATGGATTTAGATAATCCTTACATAGTTTCAGCAACTATGCCAATTGCACATCTATAACACAAGGCTGGTTACATAAAATCTAAATTAACACAAGCACAACACACCAACATCCTAATCTAAATTAGGCCAGAGTTTTACAATGATAATAACCCAGACAGGCCATGTGCTGGTAAATATAGGTCAATTTATGGTTGGCAGGAAACTGGGGCGTGGCACCAGATTTTGATAATACACAAAAGTCAAATTATAATGCCAAAAGCAAAACAACAAACGTAATAAAATTACAACAGCAAAGTGTCATTCACCTGTGAAGACAGGTCCCTCCATTCTGCAACGCCTTCGTCATGCACTGTGACACTTCGAACACCTCCCAGGATCACGTTCTTTGCGATCTCTACTCCAAGTCCTCTCATTCCCGAGATCAGGACATTGGAGTTCTGCATGCGTTTCATCGCCTCATGGCCCAACACATAACTACAGAAGAGAGACAGAATTAAAAGATTTGCATGAAACTTGTTATTTTTATATTTACAGTATCTAAAAAGACTTACAGTTGTCTTGAGTACAGGCCTTCATCAATCTCAGCATCATTACCATTTTTAGCCATGCCCTTCAAGAATAAAGTGAATACTTAAACAATGCAGAAAATTTGCTGAAAATTGAACATTTTCAACAATATTTACGTTGGCAGGTGTGTGGGACAGATCAGTTCTGACAGAGTTAGAGGATGAGCAGTGGGATCCCGTCTTCGTCTCTGTTCCTGACAAGCGACGCTTCTTGGACAGCGGCGAGCTGGACATCTGCAAAAACAACAAAGCAAATTTCAAGTACATGACAAAACATAACTAGAAATCACAATTGCTGTACAAGTTATAGAACTGATAATAATCTGTTGTGAGAAAGCCATAGTTTAAATTGTTAGTGTTTAGGTTTATGAAACAGGGCCAAGGCAAATGCCCAGTCCTCTTCATGGCAGAATGAAAGGATCTAGTCTAGGGAGCAGCTGGGCTGGCCTTGAGCCAAAAACAAAGCAGCTAGAAAACAAAACACTCATAAGCAACTAAGCAAGTTAAACCATGGGAGCAAAAGTATTTCATATATTGAACAGTGGGACTGGTTCATTCACTGCCTTTGTTTGACGCCCATGTTTATGGAGTCCAGCACTTTGAAAAAAAAACAGCTGAATCATTAAAAGTTCATTGCGGTAAAGCCTCACTTCACAGCAGAGGCAGGTGTGGACACTAGAGGACACGATGCCTCAAAAAGAATCAGTCAGAAAAGTCAGCAGATACACTTTGTAACACCTATATGCGATGAGTGACCAAGAATGACTGTTCCGACAGACCGCAGTAGATCAAGCACAGTGCAGCGAACGGAGACATCATTTCCGCATCCAAAGGTGCCAAGGACCCGGTGTGTAAGAGATAAGTGTTAAATGATTTCAGACAGACAAGGCCGATGCAGACCCTCCATAAAGAGCCACATGATTCACATGGCAAACATTTTATTTCACAGTACAATGAGGATATGCAAAGCAAAAATGAAAGCATCCGGAATGAAACAGCAAAGCCCTCATGTTTGGAACATTACCCAAAATGACAGCTCCAACCGAAGTCTTTAAGGCTGTTCTTGTTCACAGACACTGTATCGAGTAACACGGGGAAACGGTCACGATGTGCCACTAATCAGCTAAGGTGATTTGGCATGAAGACGTATTGGACATGAATAACTCAAGGCAAACACTAGACTGACAAGTCAATCCATTAGCAGCACTCGCACTAGGCCTGCAATGCCCAGTGCGGAACAACTTTACAAGCTAGCAGCAGCCGCTTTCTACCTGTTTGGAAAACACGGTAACAGAATATTGTAGATAAACACAAATGACCACTAGTATCAAGTTACAGCACTCTGGCAGAAATGTGTAGCTTTCCAGCTGTCTCTGGAACATTTCTAGGAAGCGAAAATGTAGCTAAACACTCGTGCTTCATTGATTTCTCTATTCTTACCAATAATCCTTCTCGGTCCTTTACAAATGCGAAGCCGCTCCCCTGTCGCTGCGCTTACTCGTAGAGTCGACTTGATATTTCGATGAAAACAATAAAAAACCCACAAAAACGGAGATTAGGGCGCCCGCTGTATATTGTCGAGTCACTATGTACCAATGCCTCTCCAATGTAATTGCGCTGCTGGCTCTGGGACTGCAGACGGGAACAAAACCAAAATGGCAGATGGGGAGAAAGGGGCGGAGGACGAGTGACGCAGGGGCTGAAATATTCAACAGGGAAGTGTCTCCGTGAGCACGCTTCTCCTGCCAGCCCTGCGCGCATTGGACATGTCCATGACCAACGCTCACTAGTCCCGCCCTGCTACCAGAACATGCACGCCGTGCTCTACTGTACAATGGGACAGAAGAACACAAAACTAAAACAATATTTATCAGCTTGTATGCTTCAAGAACATTGTCAGGACAGGGGTGTAGTTAAATAACCTACCAAAAGAGACAACAAAAATTTCTGTAGGCTGCATTTAATTAATTAATTATAATTATTCATTTAAATAATAATTGATACTCTAAAAACAGTCATAGCTTCATCTCAAGTAAACATTAAAGACAATACAAATATACAGACTAAATAGCCTCATTAAATTTTGTGGACAGTAGCCTCCTAGGACCTGGCATCCTCATATGTGGACATATATGTCCAACACATTTCGGGTTGTTCAGGCACTTCATAGTTTTTGCAAGTCATTATTTAATTGTGACTTAACGGTGTTCTATCAAAAATGATTAAAATATTAAATGAACGTTTTATATATCACATGTGGTCATATGAATATAAAATTATAATTCTTATAAATCAATAAAGCATGCCATGCAAGAGTTCGGGTCCTAATTTACAAAATGTAGACGACTTGTAGAAATGACCCATTTTACTCCAAAGACTAATCCCAATATACTCATTTAACTGCGAATGGGTCATTTGACCAAGCAAGCAAAAATTGTATTGCATAAAAATCTTGTATTTTAGTTTGAATGCGAATCTGAGCATGTATTTGGAGAATTACATGCTGTGGTCTTCCTCCACATCCACTAGCTCAGTGATGCTCCAGTGTCTGGGCCCTCATACAGAGGTTAGGGGTGAGCATGCCTTGCAGGAGTATTGGGGGAGGGGGGTGCTGGCAATTGACAAAGGCCCTGCAAAAGAGTGGGCCGCATATATACATGTCGCACCAACCACTAAAACTGAACATTTTCTAGAAACCTGCCACGCAGAGGATTGGCGTGTGAAACACCATTTCGAGAGAAAAGATAGCCCTAAATAGTAATCTGAAATGCATCAACTGACATGCGTGCACAATTCCCCAAATAAAATAACCATAGTGCGTAAAAACAAAAACCTCAAAAGACGTGGTTCTGTAAATTCAAACAATGGTTTAAGGCACCCAATTTACGATCATACCACAGTAACTTACATGCATGTCTGCAGCCATTAAGGACTTGTGCTATAAAATATTGGTTGTGCATATTTTATTTGACACGATTGTAGGGCACCCAAAATGTGCAAACGGTAGTTTGCGTTGTAAGTTACGTGGCCGTGCTTTGCTGGCCACGGCTGGGCATGTCGTACAAAGAATTTCTTCAGATACCGTTATCAACCATCAAAATTTTACATCTAGAGACTGCGTAGTTGTTAGCTCTCGTGCAGTTAGCTTTTAAGCTATCTAGCCACCCAACCACTTTTTCGTTCTTGTGTGGCTCTATCAGCTAACAAGATAGCGTTAGCCAACTAGCCGAAGCTAACGTGAACTAGACCATATCACATACAAGTGTGTAGAACTTACCACATCCGATATTTACCCGGCCTGTTCTGTAGTGTTAAAACGGGTTGTACTTGAACAGAAAATTTAAACAGACTAGTAAGACTAAACAATGAGGATGGCAGAGTGTAAAGTGTGTCAGGCTGGCGGGCTCTGTGTGAGTTTCTGCGTTGGACGAGTGCCTGAGTCCTGAGTGCCCGGCTGCTCCCCGACCGTTTCCCCTCACTCTATTTCAGTTAAAGCAAAGCAAAGCAGCAACATGTGCACGTTACAGGCGCTACCATTATTCTGGTTTAGGGGGCACAGCGGCAAATCTATTCTTTTAATATTCGTATAGAGCGATGCAACCATTCATTTGGCACAAACACAATGACCATAAAATATGAATGCTGTAACATAAATAAAATAGTATTTTATTTTAAACTATTCTAATAAATAGAATTATTATATTATAACACATCCCCCCCACGGGCTCACATTTTGCGCGAAACCAGTGAGGACTCAAAGTTTGCCGGGAATTGTAGGCTTCAAGATTATGCACGCTTATACAAAAGCCATCAAACTCCATTCATTTTTAGCAAATACGATGCTTTATTTAATTAGATTTTAAAGATGCAAACAACACAGTTTACGCAGGATAAGGTGCACAACAATGGGAAAGCAGTTCATGATGAAAGACAAAATCAAACTATCTGACGTCCTTTTTTCAACACCGACAGTATTCCCCAAAAATATCTGTACAAAATGGCTATATCAAAAATAAATAAACACATGGAAAATAGAGCAAATTAACATAAAAAAAAAACAAAAAACTGGACGCTTTTGTGCTTATCTTGTATGCATTATGTTATTATTGCAAAGCTATTTACAATGTATAGTGTTTAAATTCTCAAAAAATAATGTAGCTTACTTCCTGTCATAACTCCTCGAAGTAGCCTACAATCGTTCAGGAGATTGATATATATAGTGCATTGAAGAGCTACATGTAGATAAAAGGTCATTATTGGGATGATATTGATGAAAAGTAGATGGTGCGACTGTGTGGGCATTTACAATTAGGAGGATAATAAAACATAACACATTTCCCTTGTGCTACTGACAATACCACACCTCTGTACAGGGTGGTGAGCATTTCATGCACATTAAGATACAATTTGACATAAATAACTCAGAGACAAATAACTCAAGCAAAATAAAAACTCCCTTAAATAGTCCAGCATGAAGTTCAATGTCAATTTGTACTTGGATTTATCATGTTGCTAGTTGAGCAGTCCACACAATTGCAGCTATGTAGTGTGTATTCTTCAAAGCCCCCTGCTTGTTCCAGCTCGTGGAGACTGGCCAGTGTGAGTTGAACTCCTTTGTCCATCTCTGTCTTCTGGTTCTTGGGAAGAGGCAGTAGTGTGTGTAGGTGGAGAGGGAGGTGGGTAGGAGGGGGGAGGGATAGTGAGACGAGGCAGAGGAGGCTGTGCAGGTCTGGGAGAGCTGGGCAATGGTGGAGGGGCTCTGGAAGTGGCAGGAGAAGCGTGTGCGCTTCGAACCACACGAACTGGTTCAGGTGGACAGTCACTGATTTGCTCCAGCAATGACGGCATGTCTCCTTCAATCTTCTCCAATACAGCTGCCATTTGCTTCTCAATCTGCTCGATCACACTGTCCATTTGCCAGTCACTTGTGTGTGGTAGACCAGTCCCATACATCCCGATGCTTGAACCACTCGGATACAAGGAGCTGTATGGATTTCCAAAACCTGTCATCTCCATACCAGATGTGAGCATTTCAGGCTTGTAAGGTGTTGCATGACGACCCAAACTGGCTGTACTGCCAACTGAATAACATCCTGGTCCAGCGGCAGGGCCTGTCCTTGGTACGCTGTATTCTGCACTATATCTGTCTGCTTTTCTGGCCTCTCTATCTCGTCTAACTAAAGGGCTTGTTTCTCCCCTGATTCTCACCTCAGCCACTGCTGTAGCTGGTGAGACTGGTGCCACTGCCCTCTCAGCTACTGCTTCTGGAACTTGAGTCTGACACCAGTATCCACTGTTTTCATCCCTCTGCGTACCAGGCTTTTTCTCAGGTGTGACTGTGACTGCAGCTGGACTTGTGTCAGTGGATGTTGTGCCAGGGAATGAAGCAGCCATCTTGTGTTTGTTAGTTGTGTCAGGAGAGTGGGATATTTGCCTTTTGTCAACATCCAATCTTTCTGACTCCTTGACACAATTTTGACTGATATTTGGCACTGTTGTTCTGTTTCCATCATTGGCCCTTTTCTCCTGTGCAGTTTCAGGCCTTGCATTTGATTGATTCTGCTGACATGGAGGTTCCTTTATTTCTGAAGGTGAAATGCCTACTGTTGGGCCTATACTTGTTGTTATCCTATCTCCTATCTCCTCATGATTCAAACCCACTGGACTGTTCTCTACTGTTACCTCTAAGGACACACTACTGGATGTTACCCCTCCATCACTTGTGCCCTTTTCACCATCATCACTGGTTCTTTGGGACTCCTCCCCTCCCTGAACCTCAGCTGAGCTGTCAGTCATAGCCTCAGTGTTCTTCAGTCGCTGCATGAACGTTGTTACCCGAATTGCTTTCTGCAAGGCAAACAAAAGACAAGGAAAATATTTTTACCATTTAAAATAACTGTGATGATAACCTCCTTTGGTTCCTCAGGAAAGTGGTAAGTGATTATGAAATCTAAACATAAAAGCATTTGGTGGAAATTTTGAATAAGGCAGAATGATTTGTCATCATGTTTTTGAGGTGCAGTGCTTGCCTTAGAACAGTGCACGTTGTTAATGCCATTCTAACTTTCAGGAGATATCATTGTACCCTGAATAAAATTAGTTTTTCTCCTAGCATTTTACATTCATTTAACCTGATATTATATTTTTAAATAAGAAACTCACGCCGACCCCCAGTACAAATGCTAACACATAAATAGGGCCATTGATTCTCCTGAAGTCATTTGACCATAAATATTAGTAACTACAGTGCATCTGAACATAAGCAAACTTTTCTTAAGACCAGGATGGGATCTATACTAGGTGCAATAAGCAAGGATTTGATCAAGAGGAATGACACAGAACCTTCACTGTAGTGCAATAGTCCAAAGTGGCCTACATCCCTTAAATCCTTTCTAAAGCCAGCCTCCTTATCTGCACTCATCTATTAGCAACACAGATACATAGTGTTCTTTGTTGCTGATGTTTATCTCATTTTACCAATCATCTTATATTTGTGCAAACGAGGAGTCAGAAAGGAACAGAGTGTGCCACTTTGAGCATAACCTAGAGAAGAAAGTGGGGCAAAGTGGATGGATTTCTTCTGGGACAAGGCAGTGTGTGGTAGTGGATTGGAACAGAGCATTGACTAAAAACTCCATCAGCTCAAACATGTTCATTTGAATCTTCTTTTCATAAATTGGTGGTAAGATGTGCCAATGAAACATGTTGTGCAGAGTTCTGTCCATGCTCTGTCCTTCCGCTCTCCCTTACAGTGATCTACAATACCTTTAACTCCTGGGCACCACATGAAGAAAGAGAGAAGAGGAATAAAGCTCAATTTGCCTCTATTCCCTGTATTTATTTGTACATAATGCAACTTGTTTAATACATTTAATGGACATTTACACATATATAGACTTAATTGCTAATAACTCATCAAAGTTATTTAATGCAAGCTGACATACCCGCCATTTTGCCTTGGCAAAGTTCTTTTCAAACTGGGCACACACTCCATCTTTAAGGTTTTTCTCTGATGCCCCATTCCCAGCAATCCTAAACAGAGATAATGTAAAGGTATGTCAGAACCTTGTGAAAACCTGATAGCAGTAATTGGTGACTACTTGTACCATTCATGCCAGAGTGCATCCTGTGCTGTGATTCGCAGCATCTGATCCACCTCCATTAGCCGACAGACAAGCTCCTTAGCTGAAAGCAACAAAACAGCACTTATTGTACAAGTGAAGAATGTAAAATTAAATGTTGTAGTGTGTTGCCACCATGTGGTGATGTTGCATACCTGCAGGTGAAATATCATCCCAGTATGGTGAATCAAACTCAAAGTCACCGGCAACAATCCGACAGAATATAATGCGATTATGTAAATCTGTATTTTCCTCTTCTGTTTCATCATAAAATGGGGGGTTACCTGATAAACTGGAAATGCAGAAGCATATTAGTAAAATGTATTCACAAAAGCATTTAGTAAATTGATATTAGGCACTCACAGTATAAACATAATGACACCCACAGCCCAACAATCAACTGGTCGTCCATAGCGATGCCGAGCCACCACTTCAGGAGCTAAACAAAACAAAAAAAGCAAACATTTACAAAGACAATATGCATAATCAAAATCATATTATATTTATTCAAAATCAATATGTTTGCAGTTACATTCACAAATGGAATATATGAATAACATTTTGCACAGTGATAGAAACAACCAAAAATTATATAAATCAAATGTAAAAGTACTAACTCTGACATCTTAAATGATCTTACCTAGATACTCAGGGGTTCCACAAGGTTCTGTTATAGGCCCGTTTTCAAATCGCGACAAGTAGAAGTCCCTTAACACAACTTTGTTGTGGTTGTTCTCATTGTAATACATCAAATTTTCAAGCTGAAAAAATTAATAAATATATAAATAAATTAGATTTAACCTAATTTTATTTGATATAATTGAACAAAAATAGCAGAAATGCCAATGTATTAGTTTGTAGTGTTGTTTAATAAGACAATTAGCTTTAAGCCTTAAGTTGGACTTTTTTGTAATTAATTTTGTAATCCTTTTGTATACAGTAGTTTAGTTTATGATGCTGCATAATAATCCCACACCCAACACACACCCAAGCGGAGAGAGAGACAAAGAGAGACTGATAGGGATAGATAGGGAAGCTAAGAAAAGAGAGTGGAGAAGATATCATCACATCGTCTTGATTATTGGAATTATGAGGAAATCAGCAAACCAACAAAAGACACATCAGATCATGTCAGGTGACACCTCTAACTGAGGCAAATATCTGGAGAAGAACACATACTAATATTTAAATAAAAGACAATGACTTTTCAAAATATGACACAAGTTAATTTCTTGTGATATTGCGAATGATATTTAACAGTAAAAAAATGATACAATTATTGTTACTGGTTTTATTATTTACATTTAAAAGACTTAACACTATCTGTGAGATTTCAGGTTTCCCCAGTAGAGGGCGTCTGAATCTCATGTTATTTGGTAATAAGTGTCATAACTCTGCTCATAATTTGTAGCTTATGGAGAGTGAAGTCATTAATTTGTGTGTGCCTCAGTGGAGAAAAGAGTTAACTTCTATAAGTATTTTGGGTGTTTTCTGTTATTTGTGTTATTGTGTGACCACCTGCTCTGCTTCGACAATAGTACCTTCAGATTTCTGTGAACTATATTCAGGGAGTGTAAGTACGCAACAGCCTCCAAGACTTGTCTGATGACATTGGAAGCATCTCTCTCTGTGTAATTCCCTTGGTCCAAGATCCAATCGAACACATCTCCTCCTGTGGCTCTGTGTGTATGAAATCACAACATGAGAAACACAAGCATGTTTCATGAGCATCTTTATAACTGAAATAATGTAGTAATAATCTACATGTTCTACAATGAAACCAGTACATTGCTCAGTGTATAGCATTTCTCTGCTAACCAATCTGTTCAGCCAGCCCAAAGCTATCATGACGCCGTAAAATTTGACAAGAAGTAGTTTTCAAAATATGGTCTGGGTAAAACAGCTACTACAAGTACTTCTTCAGGTAGTGCAAAGGAGTATTTATTTATATTTTAATGTTTTGATCAATGTTTAGTTTCGGTTTACACCTGTTTTGGATACAGTAGTCTTAGTTCACAGCTCTATCCCGAATAAGCCCTATATTCATTAAAATTTGTTATTTTAGTGACATGTTACTGATTGATTGGCATTAAGCATGTTGTGTCCTGGTTCAGTTCGTAATTTGTGCTGGTTCAAAGCTGGTTTTAAATATTGATTTATTCCTGTATCTATTGTTGTTATTTATTGCTTTTTTCTGAATTGGATTTATATAAATTACTACAATCCTGGAAAAAACAACTTTTTAGCCTTGACATGGGCAGAAAATACAATTGTTTTGAGGGTGTCTTTTAATAAACGATACCACTGCTTGTTTATTGCAAATCACCACTTTCTCTGAATTGAACCAAGTGCTCATGAAGCCACTGCTCTTGAGTGTCATGGACAGGGCACACTCTCTCCATATTGATCCTTTCTCCTCCTCTGAGACCCACTTATGCCAAACAGTGCTTCAGGTGCACTGAGTAATGTAGTGTTACTAAGAGCAAATATCAAATCCAGCACCTTGCTTTGGCGCTCAGGGCTGGATCTGAGCACACAGTAATAAGAGAGAAGACTCGAGCCCTACCCTTGAGCTGATAAATTTGTGTCTATAAAGGCTCGCAGAGGAACACAACAGAATTAATACACACGCTAACACTATTACACAAGACTAATGTAATTTAAACGGAGAACTCACAGTTCTTGGATTATAAAGTATTCTTTCCTCGTCTCATATGTATCTATCAGTTGAAGAATATTGGGATGATTCACCCTGGAAATGAAAAAAAATATTATAAAATACTCATATTTTGTGAATGGAATTGATTTCAAATAGATAATCAAACGCAGACCCTGTATGAAATGTAAATATAAACAAAGACATTATGATTTAAAAAGTTAGAGACAGGACATTTTTTAATTTACTGTACTTTATATTTCCCATTATAAATCCCAGTTTTAAAATCTAAATGCCAAGCATGTTAACTGCATTTGTTTGTTAATGATTAAAAATGCACTATATTTACACTGTACTACTTTCTGAGCACAATGTTTTCAGGCTACTTACAGTTTTAGAATCATGATTTCGTTCTTTGCGGCCTTGCGGACTTTCCTGCCGTCCTTCTTCAGGAACTTTTTACAGACAAACACTTTGTCTGTCTGTCGTTCCTTAAGCAGACACAGCTCACAAAACTCCTTCCTGCATAATTGACAAAACATTGACAAAAGTGAAAAGAACAGATGACTTGAATAGAATAATAACCCTCTGTTCTGGAAACAGATAACCGGATAGTAAGCAGTTGTTTTATTTGTTGATAAAGAACAGCAGAAAACAAATGGAAAAAGAACAAAGCACTCTTATAGTGTATTTGAGTTTGGCTTATCTATCTGTCATTCCTGCAGAAAACACTTTAATGTCTACAATCAAACTGAAACTTACTTAAAATTGTCATCACGAAAACAGGCCATTAGGAAATAATATAATGTTGTCATAAAAGTCAAACCACAGAAATCCATACACAGCATACACAGCATGACTGTACTTACGCTCGAAGGACTTGTCCAAACTCATATTTGTCTGTAACATCTGATATATGGTTGTATGACCGCCCCTCACGCAGGGCAAGGCACCCAAACGGCATGATGGCATCCGCCTGGAAAACAAACACAGATGGGCTTTTTATTGATCTGAAAAACAGTCAGTCAAAAGTTCAACATTAATAAATAAACTATCCGGATGGCTCTTAGATAAGAGGAGGGAAGGGATTGCATGCACGGCTGGCATGTCAAAGAGGTATTGAGGCACTGATGAAACATTATGAAAGCCTCTTTGAGTTGATGTCTGCTATCAAAGGATGGACCTTACCATTAGCCTTGAAAATGCACAATGCATTTGTAAGCAGAGCTGCAGCAACAGAACAGATCAGAGTTAGACTAGTCTAGCTCATCTGGTAGCCTGGGTGTGTGCCAGTCTAGTCAACAGATATTAAGCTACCCGCTAAGCTTCCCTCTTTTTTTGCCAAAGTCTGTGTGGATTCTTTGTAACGTCTGTCAAATCCAAGTTAAACTTCAGTTAGAAAGGCCAATGTCCCCTATCCCCAGAACAGCTGGCCTCTTTAGCAGATATCACTAGTCTAGTATGTTGCAAATTGGTAGTTTTAGGAAAGAACTAACCTTTAAAAGGTTTGCTATTGCAAGATAGGGGCTAAGATGTAGCTGTACAATGACAATTTTTTAGATAAAAAATGCATCATTGCTCAGTTATGTTACAATAAATAGTGCTATTACAAACAATACAAAAAAGAAGAAAACAACGATCAGGACAATCAGGTGCTCCCAGAATCTGGGAAAAAGCCAAAGTCTATGCTTCCTGCACAAGATCATTTTTGACAGTACTCACAATACATTTTTTCCCAGCAACTGAGAATTGAAACGCAAAGTATTTGAGGGCCAGCAGTGAAAGCACTTACCCTAGATGGACTAACCCAACCCAAAACCATTCACAGACCTTATGTTTTACTTCTTTTTTCATAATCCACTGCCATTACTTTATTGATAAATACTCTGTCAATCCCAGAATGTAGCCGACCCATCTCAATCAATTGGGTGCAGCTCTTTTCATTATACGTTACCCTGTCTCATTTTATACAACTGCCAAGTCCAAGAGTTATATGAATAATCCTCCACTCTAAGTCATTTATGTTTCCTTAACCACTGTGGTGGTTAAAAAGTCAGTTTACACATTTGTAGCTATCTCTAATTTAAAAAAAATCTTCCATCTCAAAATAAACACTGAGCCAATAGCAGGTCTTAAAACACCCAGGTACAAAATCAAGGATGTACAGAGTGAATCAGCAATCAATATAGCATCTCCAAACAGTCCTCCGGCTGTCCTCACCCACATCCTTAAAACCAACACAAACACACACACGCACACACGCACACACAGCACCACTGGGTTATATCTTTCCACGATTTCTCCATCAGAAGTAATACTCCTTTAAAATTAATTATTTTAGTTTAGATTGGCAATGAAAAGATCAATAATGCACTGACTATAAATGGTTTCTACATAGTGCAGGGGTGGATACAAAATGTTTAGTCTATTCTTTACTATTGTGAAGAGTAAAAGATAAGTTTCAGTAACAACTTTTTATTTAAAAATGTTTATTTTGCTAAATACCACAATGCTATGTTAGGTATTGTTGGCACCATTAATAGAAAGAAAAACACACTCACACAGAGCCAGGAAAATGTCTTAGGGCCTTATTATTTGTGCAAATTGAAAAAATAAGTAATTACATTTTGCATGAGATCATTATTGCAGACAAGTTATGCCATTCTCCATGTGTGTGTATCATTACAAATTCAGATTAGAGAGCCTATGGTGCTTGTGGATGACAAATGGAGAAGGTGGGGCTGTAGTAATCTGAGCACTGGCCCTAATCTTTAATCTGTAATCCAGAGCACTGAATACGCTGCTGCTGCATGTGTTGTGCCTATGTACTGGAGCCAAGTGCAGCATTGAGATGGCTGACTTTTCACATTTGCAAATAGTAGTGTGTCCATATGTGCAGAGAATGACTGGATTGATAAAATGCCCTGGAGGTTATATAAGAACAGCTGTATTCACTTGACATGATCCCAGAACAGTGAAAGTGATATGAATGGAGTGCTCCTATCCAGTGGCCACAAACAGACGAATTACAGGCCCACCTGCCCCTCTCCAAATGATACAGGACAAGGCAAAGGACAAAACTTTTCTGAGTGCTTGTTAGTTTTACTCCTCTCAAACAATGTCCCCAATGGCTATAGTTTAACTTACTGGATTTTGTAGCCGCAGCACAAATCCCTGCACACTCTTGCCATTTCAACTTTATGTAAGAAAATGAAATGTGGAGGAGATTTCAGACAGTGGCGAGCAAGGGACACAGAACAGTGCTTTGCCCTACTAAACTTTTAAACCTGTGACAGTTGGGATGAGATGTTGAATGAAAAGGATTTTGCATGTTATTTTGAATTGTATTTCTGTAATAAGAGTAACACAATTTTAATACAGTTATGTTCGTTTCAATGCCAGTCTGCCTTTTAACTGGAAATTTAATAACCCTTTCATCCAACATCACTTAAGTTAAATTAAAGTTTAGAAAATCAACATTTTTTCTCTAATTACCAACAAACAACAACCATGTGCTTCCACAGTCAAAAAATGTCAAAATTCATGTTATTTTGCTTCCTTAATAAAACGACTGGGATAGCATGTTTATATTCATACCAGGCCATGAGAGTAGCTATTCTAAACACTTCACTCCTGGAAGGGTCTATAAAAACACCTGTGATTGAATAAATGTGGAACATTCCAGGCCAAGCAATAACATTTCCATGAAGACAGGTACTTGGCAGAATGTCCCACAGAAAAGTGACATAGTGCACCCCTGACTGCAGATTTTTATGTTTTATGGCTATCTACATTCTAAAAATTAATTGATACTTTGGAGCTGATATCACCAACATTCCCTGGGGGTGTGATGTGAAATGAAGCCTCTGCTCTGTCTGAGGCTTTATTAGACTTTGTGCTTTATTTTAAGACAATCTGACTTTGCTGGAACTACAACAGGTGACCTGATCTGTGCTATTAAACAAGTCTCTCACACATAAAATTGCAACCACAAGTTTCAGTTTGTCACTCTCACTTGTCTTACTGAAAATCAAAGATTTAAACAATGCTTGATCACAATGTTATTTAAATTCATTTTGTGTTTTTCTTTCAGTTTTTTCACAATCTTAAAACTTTTTTCACAGTGTTTGCTTAAGTGTGCATTGTGCCACCACGGTAACTTGTAAACATTCCACTAGGGATGCAGCGATACTAAAAGATTTAGTGTATTGGTTATTGGTTCCATGATATCCCGGTTGGATCTTTAATTGGATGTAATAACACTATTTACAGGCTGATTTTGGCCTTGAACGTCTCAACCTAACACATCTAAAACAAAACAAAACTAAACTAAATACAACTGGATTTCTTGTGCAATAAATTAACTGTGTTTTATGGAATGGAAATAAGTGCAGTTTTCCTTTCCCTACACTGATATCGGTTAATATTGGATATAGATAGTTAAAGTCACAGTATATCTATATTGGAATTTAAAAAGCTGGATCAGTGAATCCCTACATTCCACCATTAGAGATACATGTAAAAGAGCCCTAACGCAATGTCACCACAAAGTATCAATATCCACAGTGTAAAATGTGTAAAAGTCATATCACCACAAACCATTTCTCCAGTCCACACTTGTCTTTAAACCAGAGTTGAGAAATTTAAGAAATATTTACCTAAGAAACAGAGAGGATGAGGAAGAGACAAAAGTGAGGAATGAACAGCAAGGAGAAAAGAACACAATGAGTAAGAGAAAAGGGCTGAGAAAAAGAGTGCGCAGAATCATCGAGTGAATAACAGAAAACTGCAGAGGCATATTGAGAGCACCCTCAACTTCACAGCTACAGCAGAGTGTGAAGGACGCACACTGGCAGCAGAAACGTGTCACAAAAACACTCGGCTTGAATGAACAAGACTGCAACGCTTAATAAAAAAGAAAGCATGTATGTAGTCCTGTTCACTTATGTCACGGAGGAGAGGGGCTGGGCAGAGTTCGTAGAGCTGAATATGCTGAAAATATGGATAAGGAGTTAATAAGCGCAACATAAATCCAGGGAGGCCAGATAGAAAAGTTTTGGACATGTTCATAAGAGTAATAAGATGATACGATTAATGCTAGGAAAAAAAAGAATGCAGATTGTAGGCTAAGGGGGGAACGTGATTTAGTAAATTATGAATAAAAAAATTAAAAAAACTATGAAAACAGATGTATTGAGACAACATTTGGACTTGTCTGCGTACTGGCTATTGGTCTTTAATTTCCAGGACAGGCTGATATTTTGCTTTGGCCAATATACTGCATAAAACTACACACAAAGCTGTATTTTAACACTTTGTTACAAAAAGAGATAATTACACAAAACAAGACAACACAGAAAACAATAAAATAGAAAACACTCTAAATCAGTCATACATATTGACTCAAAAATATTAGATCAAGGTTACGGATTTAGGTTTTAGTTAAAATGTGTGAGTGGTGTGGTTGAAATGTAAACAAATGAATAAAATCTACCCAAATGCCTGCTGTTTTGGTCATCATCATTCAGTATAAAAAGTATTTCTTATTCTGCATCTTGTCACGAATTTGATTATGTTAATGCTATGCAACACACACCTTTTAACACAGCACACTCAGATGTGAAGGTACACAGGGCTGCGAATCACACCTCACATCCTGCCTGTGTCTGTCTGTGCGCATGTTCACAAGTGTAAAGCTGCTGTGACTGAGGCTCCAGATGAATCCAAGAGAATACCTTTAATCAGCTTCGAACATAATATATGCAAAAAACTCAATGTCAAGGGGTTATCCACCAGTGTATTCACTCTACATTCTGTTGTGTCCATCCCACAAAACATTGAAGGCACAGCTTGTTCATTCATATGAAGTAAATGTAATTTAAAAGCCCAACTGAAGGTTTTAGATAATAGCTTTGTAAAAATGATAGCTAATTGAAAAATGTAAAAGTCCATAGTTAATGGGATAGGCTAGAGCTA